TTGTTAATTAGCATTCATTTTCATTCACAAAGTAAAAAAATGAAAAAGATAATACCTTTGAAACCCCCATCAAGTTCCATTGAAAGAAAAGAAATGATGGATAAACCTGGTATCAAAGCCTGGTTTAGTCGTTTGTTCTCATGTAGTCAGCTTGTTATTCGCTGAGGTTATGTTTTGTCTCTCGCTGCCCTAACTTTGACAGATTACTGGCCAAGCTGAGAAAATGGGAACTGTTTTATGGGTTGAAAATATTGGCAAGGGAAGGCGTCGTTCTGAGGTAAGCAGCTGTGCTGGCCATATTATGTATCGATCCACCTTGTGCCATGATAGCTGCACTTAATTAGATTTATACTGTAAACACTCACCATATGAAATTTGAATTAGCAGGTAAATGTTATCTATCAAAGCAAATAATAATATTTTGTGCAGTGTGGTGCAGTATTGGTATTTTGAAGATTTATCTGTGATGTAAACGGAGGGGAAATCTTTCACCCTTAGGGTTTACTGCAGGCTATTGAGCTGCATGCAGCCTGAATGGTTTTTCCTTCCACTCAGTGAGAGGTACATCGGCTGACAAATAAACAGAAGCATGCAGAAAATCAAGCACACAAATGTACTCTGCTGTCATTGAGAAAAACTTTGAAGCTCAAAACAATGGAAAACCCTGCCTAGGCAACCAGTCTACTCACTCCATAATAGTTTCCTTAATCTGATTCTCCAATCGTGTCATCGTACTCTACAGAGTTCATTTTCTGAGCGTACCTGCTTATACTCATTGCTCCAGGAATCCCCACATTGTCCTGTCCTAATCAAATTAAAATGTGTAGAGGCATGACTCCAAACACTGTCAGAAAAAGCTCAAGGATATGGAGCAGATTACTGGAATTCAACATGATGTAATTAAGCACTGCTCCCCCCATTTGACAATCAGTCTCTTATTGGGGAAAAAAAGTCCTTCAGTTTGAACTATTGTGCTCACCCATACTCATACTTGACTTCTAACACTGCAATCTGGCTGGATCATCCAGAGGAATATCTGCCAACAGAAATCAGACCTAGGATTTAGGAAGAGAAGCTGGGGTTAAGACCTTTACTCCTCTGTGTTTATCTTGGAATCAAAGGACTTTGTTTCCTGCGTGAAGCCAGACGGGGATTCAGATGGATTTCTGCTTTGTGTGGGAGGAGGCTCATACATATTCCCACTGGTGTAGTGTAGGATATAACAAATACAAGGAACAACCTGATAGTGCCAATAGTCTCTTCTCTTTCTGTGTGAAATATGAATCCTTACTTGTGAAGCACTGATATGTATATCCACTTCAAGTGGAAAGAAGAAGCTTTATTTATTGTCATTGTAACATGTACAACGAAATTATGTTTAGAGCCAAGGACCCTGGGCCGTTGCATGCATACACGTCAGCATCACGGGCAACAGGGGGGTTCAACATGTGGACTACAGGCACTGAGATTTGAACCGTCAGCCGGTTGGGAAACGACTGGTCTACTCACCGCACCACTGTTGCCTCCCCTTCAGCACTGAGTCATAATAGAAATATTGTGCACATAGTAGCTCAACTTCAAGTAGCCTGACAACAGTTTTATACACCATGCATCTGCTTTACCATTTCTACTCTGAAGTGATTTTGCCATTCTGGTGCAAGTCCTTGTTTGTTGGTCTTATTGTATAAAAACACATTTATTTATTTATTTATCAACATTGTATCACGTTTTGACTTCAGTTTAATACTTAAGGAGGTTCCAAGTAACCAAACAGTGTCAGATTATGTGGTATAAATTTGTGACTGGAGAAGGATTAATACATTTTCACATTTTAATGTTAATTAGATTTGTCTTAATTACATTTATCTTGAATTATTTTTCTTAGAGTAGATATAATACAGCAAATGATTATATGTTCATTTGAGTCTATTTAATGCTATTTTTGTATCCTAGTGGACTTATAATAAATAGCATAAACAGAAAGTTAATCATATCAAGCCACTGTACCATAGACAGAAACCCGTAATACATTCATTTTATTTCCAAGTAACTTGCTTATATTTTTACAGTAAGTTATAATGATTTAACTTAACCAAAATATAAGCTTTTGTGTCTTATGGAAAACCATTATTTTGATTACTAGTATTTCCATTGTTTTAGGAGGCATTGGTTTACCACAGATTTGCAGAATATATCTTAAATGTGCAAATATGTTTGGGGAGATCTTCCCACAAATTATTATTGCATTTGGGAATAATAATTTGTGCCTGATATAGTTTTTTCCACAAAAGTTTTATTAACTAGTGACAGATTCTTATAATTATATTTAATCCCATTCCCTCATGGAAAAGTCTAACTTCTTCATTTCAAAAGTTTAACTTCTGGAGACAAGCTGCCTCCTATTTGTTCAATAGACATTTCAAGTTTCCACATTGTACTTGTGTAAATTGCATTTTGGACCGGCATTGTGGACCACGTCAAAAAAAATCATCCTATGCATGTTTTCATATTCTGCTGAATGGGGAAACTTTCTCTATTTATTTGTTAACACATGTACATACAGTATGCT